AAAAAAAAAAAAAAAAAAAAAAAAAAAAAAAAAAAAAAAAAAAAGTGGCGCTCGAGAGTCGGCAGTTGTATCATTAATTATTTTTTACAGCGCTATATGTATATGGACTCGGTGGAAGATGGCCGCTTATTTATCATCGAGACGCAACGCAGGCGCGAGTTGTCGAGTGGCCGTAAATTTTCTGGACCATCGAGACATACGAAAACTCACTCTCGCTAATGTATATAAAATCATGTTGCAAAAAGCACTCGTTTATAATATATAGACAGTACGAAGTTTGATATCGAAATACACTTGTCTGGCCTTTTGCTCGACTTTTCCTCGCAATTGCATATACACCCCGGAATTCGGTGTAACGTAATAATGTAGAGAAGGTGCACGAAAATGTAATGAATCAACTTTGTTGTGCGTTCGTCTGCATTTGTCCAAAGTTAAAATTAATGAAAGCAAGCGCACCCGAAGAGACGTTACACGGAGGCTCGCAGATTGCGTTGAATAAAATAAAAGACGTTAAACCTCTGCAGGCGAAGGAGAACAGAGTGTATATTATGCACATGGCGCGGGAGGAGGAGGGGCTATTTTTTTTTTTTTTTTTGTTGGTACAGAAGAAGAGGGTGGTCGTGTAAATTAACCCCGGACGCAGAGAGTCCCGAGTTAACAAGCGATTTATGTCAAATTTATAATGTCATTAAACAAACCAACGTTGCCTCTCTCGCTCTCTGGCCTATTAAATTCAGCCGTTAAATTGATCCCGACGCGAGCGGCTAATTGCGCCACGCGACAATTTATTTCGTCTTCGTTTTAATAACTTTGTACACGCTCCCCTCTCGTATATGCTGCACGAACATCGAACATCTGCTTTCTATCGTTAAATTAATTGTTCTTTTTCTTTTTTTTCTTTTCTAATCACACGAGTCAATTTAATAAAAATAAAATATACACGCTTGACAAAGAGGACATTAATGATCCATATTCAATCGAGTTACATCTATTGTGTTATCCGCTTGCAAGCTCGAGCGGGAAAAAACCAAATTTTATCTACATACGTCTAATTACCACAGGGGTTTTTTTTCTCTCGCAACAAAGGTCCCAATCGTTGTGGGACCCACGTCACGTGCACAATAAACGCGCGCGAGCAACAACCAGAAATCGTCACGCAGGGAGCAAAAGTGCACGGGTTAATTCATCGAAACGCGAGATAAAGGGAGGCACGCACATCAGGCGCTAACCAAAAGCGTCGACGGACGCGCGACCGCTTGACAAACGTCGCAAACTACCAAAATATTTATGCGTAAAATACATGAATATCTTTGTCGTATCAATATATATATACAAGCGCGATTAGTGCACGCGAAGCAACGACAACGTGGGGGCATTGTCGGCGCTGTTGTATCGATGAAGCGCAAATGCGACATTGAGATAACAACGCAATGGTGTATTTGTATATTAATTTGAACGTGTACGCATTCAACGCACACAAGCGATTGTACACACCGATTGGCCAAGTTGACCCGATCGGAAATTGCACTTATACGTACCATAAAGTACCCGTACATGGCCCGGAAGCATAAAAAAATATGCTAGTCAAAAGATTAGTTACTACAAATTAGCACACCAGGCCCTCAAAAGCGCTCAAAGTAGGAAAATAATGTAGTAAGGGATGACTTAATGGAAATAAATACACTAATTTAAAAAAAATAATAGATTTATCACATAAAAAAATATAATTATGTAAAAATTATTATCGACGATAGCGGAGTAAGCGGTGAGTCTATTGGTCCATTAGATCGGCTATGGTCAGAGATCTACTCATCTCTGCTATTACTCTATTGGATCGGCTCCGGTAGACGTGCTCGTGTCCGAAGCGGAGGGTCTATTGGAGCAGCTCCAGTAGACCCTACGCTCAATTTTTATAAATTCACTAGTCCTCGTATGCGGAGGGTCCATTAGATCGGCCCCGGTAGACCATATGCTCACTTCCTATGTATTCACTAATGTCCACAGCGGAGGGTCTATTGGAGCGGCTGCGGTAGACCCGCCAGTTCCCGTAGCGGAGGGTCTATTGGATCGGCTCCGGTAGACCCTGTGCTCACTGCCTAGAAATTCTCACTCATTTAATTTAACATAGAAAGATCGACGGCCGATAAAAAATTTACCGCAGGGTCCTGTCATACCGACATACATGGAAAATACCTGCCGTACCGACGTCACGAGTCGATAAGGA